ATGTTGAGGTTAGCAGCTCGACTTGTAGCCACTATGCTGGGGGTGTCAAAAAGTTTGTAGGAAAATGCAAATAAAAGACAATGCAACTTTTCCACAGATTTTTTGGAAGCTCCCCCCCCCCATATTTTTTATCTGCACAATCACAAAAGGGTCATTTTTCCACGGCATCTTTTTTCCAGTAACTTCTCTTGATCTTTTTTTTTTTTTTTTTTTTTTTATAAATTCTTATCTTGTAAATCATCTTAAAGTATTGTCAGCCAGGATAATTTTGACTTCAATCAGTTCCAGGTTTTCAGTGGCTTTGCAGTACTTTAGGCAGTAGAAACATCAATTTCATAGATTTCAAGAAAGTTTGCATCTTTTGCAGCAAAAAATCTTCATTCTGTAGATTTGCATTGTATTTGAATTGGATGTCTACACCCTGTCCATGAGGGACAGCAGATAGACAGTTTGTTCACTAGTTCCCATTTCTCATCAGCTTGAGAGTCTGCTAATCACAAGCCCTGACATTATGCTAAAGTTAAATTCTTTAAGTTGAAATCAGTGTCAGCAGGATGGGAACTTGGAAAAAAAGACAGCAAAGGAGAAGCTTAGTTTCTGGGATCTGACCCATATACCACCTAGTGAGTACTACATGCCTGGGAGAGGTAATAAGCAGGTTCCCACCAAATTACTAACAACTGACATGTTGCCTAGAGCCTAGAACACCTTAGCTTTGTAGTAAATTCCTGGGATTCATTTTTCAAAACTTTGCTGTGGCTTTCTGTGACTATAAGATGCCTGTCTGCCTTGCTACCACAGGAGTACATAACTGTCTACTAACCCCATTTTTTTAGGGCTATGCTTTGAGCATGGTCTGAGGTAGGAGACTAGAAAGGTAACTGCCATTGCTTTGAGGTGAAGTGCTACTTTGATGAGCAGAGCCTTGCACATTTGAATAATTGCTGTCAGGAACGTTTCCTCTTCTGGGTAGACGTAGACACAACTTAATAGCGTGTAACAACAACAACAACAACTAAGTCAGTACCACCGAGTTGATTCGGAGTCATAGTGACCCTAGACAGTAAATCTCTACAGGAACAGATGGCCTAATCTTTCTCCTGAAGAATGGCTGGTGGGTCTCAACTGGTGCCAGGCTGAGCTTGAGCCCACACAAAGGTGCTCTGGAAGATTCACTGTACCACAAATTTGATTCAATCTTGAGTCCATGGAAGTGGCCTTTTGTGCCCATATTAATCACTGGCTGCAGAATGCTGGGTAGGGGTAGGGGTGTTGTAACCAAAACCTCTGAGGCACAGTGGCTCCCATTCAGCTCAGGGCTGTTTCGCCAATTTTGTAAAAGAATGTGAATGGAGCACCAACACCGTCCATGTAGGGAATCCTGGTGTTTGTCAAAGCCTGCATTCTGATAAGCCTTTGGCCTCCTTACAAATCTTTGCTCTGCTAGGAGAGGGAGGGATAGAATGAGAGCAGCTTCAGAAGGAGAGCTGTGTGGTGTGGTCAAGGCAGGAGGGCGACCCATGGCATCCCTTCCTGCAGAACAAGTTATGACCCGGAGGCTAAACTGTCTTTCTACAGGTGTCTCACATGTCTTTGATTTTTACTCACCAAGAACCAACCAGAATTTTGAATTTTTAAATTCTGAATAGGGTGCGGAAGTAAGAGAGATTTAGAATAACATGAATGAAAAACATTTTAATTTAATGGTATAGGCCGTCCTCCCCACCTCCTTATAAACATCAGTACCTTCACCTTACACACAACTCCTTTTCAGTTGTGTATGTTGTTGTTGTTAAGTACTGTGGAGTCGGTTCCGACTCATAGTGATCCTACACAGGGTTTCCGAGGCTGCAAATCTTTACAGGAGCAGAACACCTCATCTTTCTCCTACACAACAGCTGGTAGTTTCAAACTGCTGACCTTGCAGTCCGCAGCCCGATTCGTAACCACTATGCTACCAGAGCTCCTCAGTTGTGAATGTTGTCAGGTGCCATCGAGTCGGAATCGACTCATAGTGACCCCGTGCACAGCAGAATGAAACAATGTCCGATCCTGGGCCAACCTCACTACCGTGCCACACTTGAGTCCATCAATGATGCCACTTGGCCAATCCATCTCGTTAGAGGTCTTCCTCTTTTTCTCTGACCCTCCACCTTACCCAGCATGACATCCTTCTCCAATGATTGTTTCCTCCGGACAATATGTCCAAAGTATGAGAGACGAAGCTTAGCCATCCTGGCCTCCAAGGAGCACTCTGGCTGCGCTTCTTCCAAAACAGATCTATTGGTTCTTTTGGCAGTCCATGGCACTTTCAGTATTCTCCTCCAACACCACAACTCAAAGGCATCAATTCTTTTACGATCTTTCTTATTCACTGTCCAGCTTTCACATCCATATGAGGCTATTGAAAACACAATGGCCTGGGTCAGGCGCTGTCCTCAAGCTGACATCTCTGTTCTTCAATACTTTAAAAAGTTCCTGTGCAGCACATTTGCCCAGTGCAATACGTCGTCTGATCTCTTGACTGCTGCTTCCGCGAGTATTGATAGTTGATCCAAGAAGAATGAAGTCCTTGACAACTTCAATCTTTTCTCCATTGATAAGAATGTTATTTATTGGTCCAGTGGTGAGGATTTTTGTTTTCTTGACATTGAGATGTAGTCCATATCGAAGGCTGTGCTCTTTGATCTTCATAAGTAAATGTTTCAAGTCCTCTTCACTTTCAGCGATCAAGGTTGTATCATCTGCATATTGCAGGTTGTTAATGAGTCTTCCTCCAATCCTGATGCCACGTTTTTCTTTGTAGAACACAGCTTCTCGTATTATTTGCTCAGCATACAGGTTGAATAAGTATGGCGAAAGAATACAACCCTGTAGTTGCTGTTATTTTGAAACCCTTGAGCCATCCCTCTCCAGCCGTGAACGTCTTCATCACTTTCACTTTCGCTTGCTGCACGTGGCAGCGCTTTCATCACTGAGCAGGTTCTGAGCCTTTGCTTGCACTAAATTAAGGTTAAATAAAAAGCGTATACATGTGTTCTGACTTACCTACAAATCTGCTTAAAGATACAGTTAGGAGTGGACCTCATTTGTAAACCAGGGACTGTCTGTATTTTTAAACATTTTAGAATTAGTGCAAATAAGGCAATTTGGCAACCTTAGAATAATCAAAAGATGTTTTAGACCATAGATTCCAGAGTAAATCTTTGAAATCTAAGTCATTCCTGAACACACATGACAAAATTTAAGAAATTCTCAGAGCGTTGACTTTAAGAATTGACAGACCTCTTTCTTCAAAGAGTCAACAGTTACTTTAAAACCAAGATGAGAATGTTATAAGCGGGGAGCAGGGAAGCTAGATGAATGGAAATGGGACAACCAGAACAGGAATCATGGGACTGTTCACACATTGTGATGAATGTAATTAGTGTGGCTGAACATCTTATGCAAAAACTGTTGAATGGGAACCTAAACTGCTTTGTGAACCTTCACTGAAAATGCAGGTCAAGAAACAGAACATTTCCAGCACCCCTTTCACTTGCTACTTCACCAACTACCAGCTTGACTTTATCTCCATAGATGAGTCATCTTGTGTCATTTCAATGTTCTGTGTGTTTTGTAATGTTCACAGTATGCTCAGTTTAGTATATAGTGATGGTGGTGGTGATTGTATGCCAGCGAGTTGATTCCAACTCATAGCGACCCTGTATAGGGTTTCCGGGGCTGTAAATCCTTACAGAAGCCTCATCTTTCTCCCTTAGAGTGGCTGGTGGATTCGAACTTCCGATCTGGCAGTTAGCAACCCAACTCATAACCCATTATACTTCTAGGAATCCTTAGTATAGTAATACATGTATATAATTTATAATTATATAAATATGCTGTGGTGAGTACTCACATTTTAAAAACTATTTTGGATGAAAATTTTTTCAGTCCATTTATCTAGACTAATGGAAATGTAGAGTCTTGGAAATGGGAGAGGGAGCAAAGGCTGGAATCCAGACAGGTTGGTTCCTTTTGACTGCCATCTGATACTCTGCTGTCCTCATTTTCTCTAGAAGGAAGGAGACAGACTTAAGAGTTGCCAAGTGCAGGTCCATGTTCTTTCTTTCTTTCATCATGTGAATGTCCTTGGGCAAGTCACATGAGCTGGGTGAACTTCAGTTTCCCAACTTCTGGCATGGTATCACCTCAGCAAGTGGTACTTCTGTCCTGTCCGGTTCCACTTTCTCCAAAACCTGCCAATGTCCTCTCTCTTATTGAAGCTCTTGATTGGACTTCAGGAACTTGGAGATGCCCTGAGAGTTTTGAAGAGTCTCCTGGCTTCCCTTTGATGATGGTTATAAGCCCTGAGTCCTTTGGGGGAAGATAGCAGCTCCCTGCGGCTTTTTTCCACTGCCTCTCTCATGCCACTGTGTGTTGAGTCCAGACTGTGCTGTTACACTGGGAAGCCCCTCCTCATCCTTGCACCCACCCCCTCAACTGGGAAGACTTATAAGAGGGCATCTCACCCCTCAATGCATCTGGTTATTGTGGAGGGGAGACCCTCTCTTACCCTTGGTTTGACTTTCCTAGAGTTATTTCTCTCCCTAAATTAGCGAGACCTTGAAAGGTAGAATTATGGTGTGATCTTAGGAGAAAGGGGCAGAAAGTCTACTGGGGTGCCTTTTCATCCAAACCTTAGGAGGCTTCCAGCTCACACATGGCACAGCCCAGTTCATCAGGAGAACACCAGGGTTCAGAGCCAAAGCATTCCAACAGAATGAAGAGTGCGAAAGCACTCTTCATTTTTCCTTCCTAGGGAACCTACGAAGGAAAGAGGACAGCAGAGCAGGATGGGGGCTTGGCCTGGTTAGAGTGCTCCTTCTCCCATCACAGACAACAGTGGCTTTGACCTGGGAACTGCCCTAAGGAAGACCCTTGTCTTTCTTCCTGAGGCCACTTCCACACAGCTGTGTCCTGTGCAGCCGGCGCATCTGTTGGTACCTTTTCTCTTACAGGAGGAGATGGGCATTTCCTGTGAGCTGCTGGAATCGGACTTCCTCAAATGCAGTGTGGGATTTCCTTTCATGAGGTCGAAGTCAAAGGTAAGGGGCAGAGACAGGGCACTTCCTTGGCAGCAACCTCTACCCCATCCCACCAGCCTCGGACTCCACAACTGCCTCCCTCTAGGTTTTCTCCCATACCCCATCTCCTGTCCACCAGTGTATAGTCCACGTATACTCCAGAGGGGTCACAGTTACCTGCTCCTTATCTTTAGTCCACTTGACACACCCCAAATATGAAAGACAGCTATAGCTTTGCACTTGTTCATGCAGCATCTGGTTGACCTTTCCAAAATGTTTCATTCTGGGACATTCTAGTTCATGTTCAGTCTCCTCAAGGCGAGAAGTTGTCATCTGGGCTAGAGTCAAAACAGTTTTTAAGAAGAGACCTTTCAAGATCCTAACAATAGTTGTATTCATTTAAAAAACAAAAATTACATTATTAGTCATTTTTATGCTTAGGAAGGACAAAAGATTCTAAGCTCAAGCAATAATAAAATATGGCATATCCAGACACTCTAGTAAGTCCCAACATTATGGTAAGATGCAAAGATAATGTAGAAGACCTGATTTTTGGAGGCAAAGCTAGACTCTGAAAGACCAAGTCTGCCTTTTGAAGTAGAAACCAGTTTCTCTGTTATGATCTGAAGGAAGTTTCATACTCCTTTGTCTACCTTCTTCCTCCAAAGCGTGAAAGCTTTAGTCTTCGCTGATGCCTGTGTCATACAAGCAGATCCTTTTCATCTCTAAGGCTTTTTGGGCCCAGGACTTGTCAGCTGTTTAGTAAACCAAGTGTAAGAATGTCTTCATGAGAAAGGAGGCTTCCTCATTTCTGAACAAATTACTTGAAGGACGTACTTGATCCCGCTATTTCTGCCTTCATTCCTTATCCTGTGTATTCACTCCTCTGCCCCAGGAAAGGGGGGACCGCCAGAAGTGGCTGCTCTTAGGAAATGAATTACAAGTAACTGGCAGAGTAGACGCTAGTCCCCTTCGACTCCAAGTGAGGTGAAGTGGGGTGACCTAGGAAGACCCTGAAAGGTGGACCACATTGCCTGTCACGTCGTACACGTCACCCCACACACAGACTCATTTGAAATCTTGTGAATAACAAAAAATAGACTTACTTGGAAAACTGCAACAGTTGCCATTTCATGGTAAAGTCTACCTTACATCACAAATCAAACCTAAGGTGTGTTGTACTATCTCTAGGAGAGCATTCATAATGTCAAAAGTCATTAACTCCCCAAACAGTCACAGAGCTGGTAGAAGTCTGAATGTTGGACTAGACTCCTTGCATCCATCCACCAATTTTATCCCCCTTAGCAGTTGCCACCACTACATTCCTCCCACATGCAGAAGTTAAGTAAGACTAAGCCTGAGGAGGGAAAGGGAATTCCCTGGATAAAGCCAAAAGGAGTTTGTCAGCTGGGATAATAGTCTCCTCTGTCTGCAGCCTGGCCTGCCCTCCTCTGCCCTTCAGGACCTATGGTTCATCCGGCTCCAGGCCACCTACTAAGCATTGGGACCACACTGTGGGCTTACTTTGGTTGGTGGTTTGTTTCTCTCCCGCAGCCAGCCCTCCGATTTTCCGACATGTTCCTTTAGGCCTCCATCTCTGATTTTGGCCCAGTCTTCTGCTTCTCACCCTGACCATTAGTGTGTATAATTCAGAACTCCTGCTCAGTTCTGATATTTTGCTTATACAAGACCCTTGACTTTCTCTTCCTTGGTGTCCTCCAACTGTGCTTCCTTACATATCACTATGCCTGACCCTTGCTGTATGCTAATAAGTCTCCCTGCAAAAGACATGTCTGCCTAGAAAGTGGCATCCACATCTCACTGTAGATGCCCCATTACTTTCAAGTAGGTTCATTTCAGCAGATTTCAGTTGCAAAAGTAGATCATCATGTAGATTTAGTCAGAATGGAGCCCACATATTTAGATATTAGATAAGTCTTGATATTTGATAAGCTCTCACAACTTGGTAGAATTTAAGAACCACTCTGCTCAGTCTTTTCTTTGTATTGTAATGTACAGAGATTAAATGTCTTGGCCAAGATTACATAGTCTCCGGCTGAGCCTGGTTCTCTAACCCCTAGCCAACAGAGGGGTGAAAACCTTTTGCTCGCAATAGTGTTGCCCAGATCACAGGCTCTATCACAGGTGATACTAGACCCAGCACTAAACAGCATTGACTCTAATAGTGAGAAAATGGCTCACTTTTCAATACTCTTTCCATCTGAATTACATGTAGGAGAAAGTCTCTAACAGTGCTAGTCTATCTCTAGCTCCTCTTTTCTCTTTTTAATCTCCCTTTTTAACCAAGATACAGTAGACCTTTAGCTTGGCGTCAGGGTCAGACTGTCCAGTTAACACGGTAAGCATGGACTTCCTTGTGGTTACTTGTCAACAGTGAACAGTTTCATGTATTTTTACCACATTGAAAATCCAGCTGCTAGCTGTGTAGGCATCTGCCTCTCTCCCAACATCTCAGCACCTTCCTACAGAATCAAATTCTCTTCAGTTTCGCAATTCCTGACAGAGATCAAGTCCCCAGTTAGCAAGATAAGCACAGACTAACTAGTACTTATTTACTCATCTTTAATGAACAGTTTCACTTGAGTTTCACCACATTTTTGCTTGTTCATTACTAATTAGTAAGCAAGCATAAGTAAGCCCATGTTTACCTTACTGGGTAAGCCACACCTGCTGAGAGTCTTCAAGAGACCCAGACTCCAGCCTTGCTTGGTTTTCATTGTATTCCATTGTAGGACAACTTTTTCTTTAGGGCAAGTCACCTTGGATCCCATCTATGGTATACCTCACCCCCACCCCACCCTCCAACCCATTGTCATCTAGTCAAGTCCTCAGAGCAACCCTGTAGGATGGAGTAGGGTTTCCTTAGGGTTTCCAAAGCTATAATAAATATTTACAGGAGCTGACAACCTCATCTCTCTCCCATAGAGTGGCTGGTGGATTTGAACCACCAACCTTGTATTTAGCAGCCCAACACTTAACCACAGCACCACCCATCTGTAGTATTGATAGAAATTTTTATTTTAAAATATTTAAAGTAAATCTTTTGAAATAACATTGAAAGTAAATATTACTTCTAAATATTTTAAGTAAATGAGTGAGGCAGTAAAACTATAAGCTAAATGATAACACAGGTGATATGATATGCAGATACGGCATTAAGTTGGGAAGATGACATGTGATTGAAATCTAAATGACAACCAAAAACGAAACCAGTTACTTTCAAGTGGATTCCAACTCATGATGACCTCTTATGAAATGTAGACAGGCCTGGTTTAAAGACTAATGCATCAATTCCTGAAGAAAGTCCAGAGGGTGAAAAGGCAGCTGTATCCCAGAGCATGCTTTGGGCTTGGGTTTACTTGTAAAACTATGCCTCTGGCCTAACTATCAGAAAGATACTTTAGTTTGCCATGAAAATGAACTTGCAGAGGTAATAAAGTCCTGAAGACGGCAACTAACACAAAGTTTGAAATGTCTCCTGATGCTGAACATCACTGTTCTTCGCCCTAGTACGAATTCAGCGTGATCTTTGACACAAGTCACCTGTCTGGGGAAGAGGAAGTTCTTACATTCATCATTACTGCTCAGAGGTAAGGGAGTTCTTGTTTTCTTTCTAATTTTAAAAACTTTGCCTTGGTACTGCATTGATGATCCCCAAGACTCAGAGGAGGAGGATAAAGATTATTCAGAAATACACCCCAAACCACTGGGTAGAATCTAGGGATGGTGGTTGTATGTTTCCAGTTGAGAAAGCCACTGCTTCAGACTGAGCTGGGAGGACCCACCCCGTTATGATTCTGTAGCCCTGTAGAGACAGACAGACAGACAGACAGACTGCACCTGCGAGTGAGGAGGCTCATTCAGGGTCACGTGATTAGTTAGTGCCTGCTTCGGCATAAGTTTCCCAGATCATACACATGCCCTCTGCAGCTTGTCAGGCAGGACCTGTAGTTCTCATGGACTTGCTGGTGCTTGCCTCAGTGGAAGGGGGATAGGGGAGGTGGTACCGTCAGCCTGAGGGCCCAGCCAGGCCTGTTGGCAGAGGCTCCTTGAGAGACATTCCTCAAGAGAGAGCTTGTCCTAGAAGCCAAGTGGACAGATAGGAAGGAGACAGGACAGTGGCTACGTCTCACTTCAGGAGTGTGTGCGTCCTCAAGCCAGAATCTATGAGTGCCTTCAAACAACTTCAAGTAGTGCTTGGCTGATAGCTGGGATGGAGAGAGGCTGAGTAAACCCTCAAATCCATTTCCATTGAGTTAATGCCACCTCATGGTGACCCTATAGGATACAGTAGAACCCTCCCATAGGGTTTCCTAGCTTACATATGTCTACAGAAACAGATTACCACATTGTTCCCTCACAGAGCAACCGGTGGGTTCAAACTACTGAATTCTCAGTTAGCAGCCAAGCACTTAATCACTGCACCACCAGAGCTCCCTATGGTGACTGAATACAAGGTTGTTATTGTGGTTCTTGGCACCTGGCTCCTAGCAACCCCATGTGTTACAGAGTAGAACTTTCCCATAGGGTTTCCTTGGCTGTGATTTTGGGCAGATGGCCAGGCTTTTCTTCCTTGGAGCCACTGGGTGATTTCAAACCACCAAACTGTGGGGTAGCATTTGAGCTCAAACCGACTGTGGCACCATCCAAGCTCCCGAATAGAAAGGTACAAGCTTTGATTGGATTGGGTTTGGATACCCAGGGTAACCTTTTTATTTAAATTTTTATCTGGAAGTAGTAATTCTTAGTGCCAGACTCTACAAGGGCTTCTCCAGAGAGGTGGCATTTTAAAAGCGTCTTCGATTAGGAGTCTGGTTCCCGTCTGAAGACATGTAGCAATCCCATAGCACTGAGCATGTACATGGTACAACCTACTCTGTTACACCCATGAGGGTGGCAGGCATTGGAGTGAGCTGGAAAATCCTGAGCCATCTCAGAGGAAGAGTGGGGAATATGCAAGGACAGCGGAGATAAGACTCAAAGAGGAGACTGGACCTGGGGGGAAAGGCAGCCTTAAAAAGTATGAATTATTCCAAAGGCAGTGGGGAGCTACAGACATAGTACAACACAGCCCACACACTACAGAACACGAGATTGTTGAATTTAATAAGAGAAGGCATATGCCCGTTCAGACCTGAACATTCTCATTTTCCTGTTGTTTCTCGGATCTCTGTTGTTGAGCAGATTCATCAGTTTGTGCCCTCTTGTGGTCCTTGTCATTAACACTTAGCAGAAAACATGGTAGGGAGGAGACTTTCCTTGTCAAACGGTGGAAGCTCTGTCTCCCAGCCCCATTCAGGGCTAATTAGAGGGGTCAGAGAGGAAGGGTGGGAACTGAAATTGGTGAAGGCTTCATTTGTTAAAATAACATATCCATGGACCACCTGGAGAGCTTTAGGAACTGTGGCTTGTAAAGATTCTAATGAGCTGAGAACCACTATCTACAATCCCTTTTTCTATGCTGGGTGCATTATGAGGGGGCTTCAAAAAGTTTGTGGGAAAGTTCCATTATCTTTTCATTCTGTTTTTCCATGAACCTTTTGAAGCCCCTCTCATATTAACCAGAAACCAGTTGCCATCAAGTCAGCTGATAGGGACCTCGTGTATTTCAGAGTAGAACTGTGCTCCAGACTGTCTTCAGGGTTGTGATCTTTCCAAAAGTACATCACCAGGCCTTTCTTGTGAGGAATTTCTAGATAGATTAGAACCACTGATCTCTCAGTTAGTGAGTAGCGAAGTGCACCATCCAGGCACTTCCAACGTTTCTTACCACATGCTATTTACCAAGCACAATACTGAGTATTATAAGTAAATGCCAATAATTCACAACAAAAACAAAAATCCTCTTATGTATGTATTTTAATGTTGCTGTCAGAGGACACCTAGTATTTGTTGTTTAAATAATTTAATTGAGTCACCAATGGTAACGAAGCCATACTGTCCGGTACACACACAGTGGAATACTTCAAATGCTAAATTTCTTTCCAGGCTATGATGAAAATCAGGTCTTATTGTACCCACAGCACTTAACTCCCTGCTACGATGGGAAGATTCCCTAAAGTTCATTATCTTGAAAGCCACATTTCAATATCAATCATTCCTTTCTTCCTGACCCACCCTTTGAAGGTCTCCTGCCTGCCTGGGCATTTAGGATGACATAAAGTTGAGACTAAACAGTTGACTATGAACTGGGCTCTGCAGAGCACAGGAAAGCCTCTCACCTTGTGAGTGGCAGAATGACAGGGAGCCATGGGATATCTGGTCTCTTTATCTCTGTTGTCAGCTCAGTGTGGAGCAGTCACCCCGATGACAGATGAAACTGCTGGGCCTGAGCTGCCAGTGACCACAGGTGGTTGGACAGATGGAAGGGCAAGGGGTGACCCTTCCATCAGGAACCAATTACTCAGCCTTGGCAGGATGCTGGGTGTGGGGAGGTGCCATCCCAGAGGTGAGGGAGTCACCTCTGACCTGTTCGGGCCTGAGCTTTGCCCGTGGTGGTGACTCGCAGTTTTTTTTTGTCTCTAGGAAAGGAAGGACAGGCAAGTTCTGCTGTGTGTGCACCTGTTCCCACTGCCTGTGCAAACCATGGCAAACCCAGTGTGCAGAAGGCAGATGTGGAGCGGGGGCAGAGGGGGCTGGGGCAGGCGCCTTGGTGGGTTGGAGTCACAGAACACCATTGTTTCAGGACAATAGGAGGGAGATGTGAGGGCTATTTGAGGATTGTGGCCTTTCAGCACTTGCTAGAGGGAAAGGAAGGCCATGGAGTGAGGCTGGGAAGGGGCCCAGGAAGGGTACTGAACAGACAGGGACGTAGCAGATGTTCAGGGGAGTGTAGGGTGTGAACCTGCCCAAACCCTTACTTTGGGCTGGGATCCTGCAGTCACTCCATATGGTGGACCCAGCCGTAAGTGCCCCAGCCCAGGGGCTCACAGGGAGCTCTGGGAAGAGTTCATAAAGAATTGCCTTCCTTTTCCTGGAATAATAATCACAATTGATACTTTAAATTTAATGAAGTAGTAGAGAAAAGAGAAATTAGGTTCTCTGTCTTACTTGTGTGTGTGTTCCTTCCCATACTCCCCCCAGCCTGGTATCAGGGGACTGAATCTTGATTGGGAGTCAGCTGGACCTGGGTTGGAATCTGAGCTCTTTCGGGCTTGTTGTGGGGCCTGGAGCAAGTTACTTAACCTGTCAGAGCTGCTTCTGGCCTGTCAAAGGAGGGACACACCCTCTCTCCTGGAGTTACTCGAGGACTCAGTGAGGTCATGTGCTTGGCTTGGCACATTGTAGCCACCCAACAACATTAGCATCCTTTCATTCACGTTTCTAAAATGACCTCACAAAAATGTCCATTCTGTGCTTTGTCCCAAGAGTAGTATCTGGAGGTAGATGAGCTGTACCAGAAGTCTACAGTGAGAGTGTTCTTGGTCTTTATCAGAACAGGCTTGCCTTGGCTCTCTGTGAATGATGAGTGATACCTCTGGGTAGAAGAAGCTGCTCAAGTCCAGCAGGCATGTTCCTGTCCACAGTGCCCTAATCTCTTCGGTCCATTTATCGCTATTGTTGTTGTGAAGTGCCGTCGAGTCGGTTCCGACCCATAGCGACCCTGTATAGGGTTTATCAGTGGGACGGCATTTATAGAGATAGCACGCCGCCAGTGATAACCCAACACCTTCAGCCTTCGGCATTCCCACATACCTACTGGACAACGTCCACCTCCTAATACTTGCAACTCTGCTGAGGCTTTTTCTGACCAGAGCCCACCCACCTGTGAGCACAGAGTAGGGCAAATGTGCCACTAAATTAACAAACCTCCTACCATTATTTGTGGGAGTTAGTGAATCAAGGCCTTCTTCCAGACCTGCTGCTGAGGTCAGTCAAAATCATGTGTTCTGCATTGCTGCCCATAGTCTTCCAGCAAGACTGAATCCCAGTTGCCCACAGCCCTGACCTCCTGGATTTGTTGTTGCTAGCTGCTGTCGAGTCAGCCCCCTACTCATGGTGACCCAAGTGCTGTCCAGCCCCACAGCATCTCCATCATGGGCTATAGATCAGACTGTTGTGATTCCTAAGATTTTTCACTGGCTGGCTTTCAGAAGTAGGTCGCCAACTCTTTTTTCCTAATCTGTCTTAGTTGGAAGCTCTAACTCAGCAACATACAAGCTTCCACTGACAGATGGAAGGTAGCTGTGTATGAGGTGTGTCAGCCAGGACTCAAACCCTTGTCTCCACACAGAAGGTGAGGGTGGTGCTACTGAACAACCAGTCCAACCACATGCCTTTATTGTGCCCTTTTCCTTCCTTCTCTCTCCTCTCCAGCCCTCGAATGTGGTTGTTAAGTGCTGTCAAGTCTGTTCCAACTCCTAGCGGCCCTGTACAGGGTTTCCGAGGAGCAGCTGGTGTGTTTGAACCACTTGCTCCCCTTGTGATTCAAACCGACTTTGTGGTTCTGTGCTTATCCTACAGCGGCACACCAGGACAGCCTCCTGTAAACTATGCACTCATGTCTCTGTGAGCAGGACACTAAGACAGTGGTGTAAAGTGTCTGCTGTGACTGTATGCAGGGACCAAAAATGGAGCTGGGGATAGATAAGGAGCAGAGGCTGCTATGGGACCGATAGCCAGTGATGGCCAGCGCTCATTGGTCTCTTCCTTTGTAGTGGCAACGTGGAGCGCACCGAGTCACTGCACAACAACATCCTCTCACTGACAGTGCCGCTGGTGCATGAAGTGGACACATCCATCACTGGGTGAGTAGCCTCCGGTGGAAAGCTGTGCTTTTCCTGTGTATACGTGTGCAGCCAGGAGTCAGTGCCCTGTCACCACCCCTGCTTCCCTGCCTTGAATAGAAAATGAAACTTTAGCCTCGGGGACTCCTATCCTTGTTGTGTGTCTTCCTCAGCTCCCCATCCACCTGGTGGGTAACATGAGATGTCTAACGACAAGTGCATGGCTCATACGCTTTGAACATTGTGTACACCTTTTATGCTTGTGCCCCAGTCCCCACACCTCCAGAATACCATATGATAGCAGGCAGCATGGTTCCTGAAATTAAAATCTCAGCCAAAAGCTGCTGGGCCAGAGGTTACAGCCACATGTGCCTCCTACCCTAACTCATGAGAGGGTTCCCCTTGCTGAGTAACTTCCCAGTCAGTCATTGCTGGCTTTGCCTGGTATATTCCTGTTAACCCCTTCAGCAGAGGCAGCTCTATATGAAGTCTGTGCCATCTGGAGTGGGCAGGGAATGACCACAGTGGCAGGGCTATCTGCCCGGGTGAGGTTCAGGAGCACTTGGGGCTGCTGGCATGGTTGGCATATAGCTCTGTGGTCTGCAGAGACCTGAAACAACCCTCATAGGATTGCAATCAAAGCCCAGGCCTGGAAAAATGAGAACTCAGTTCTGTCTCTGGCTTCAGAAAACAGAGCATATACCTTTTTGATAGTAGCAAAAGGATTTGCACAACTAATTTAGATCAAATGAGAACCCATTGAACCTTGGCCCCAAATGCAAGCTGAACTTTCTAGAGGTTCAACATTTCTCTCTCTCTCTTTTTTTTCCCCAAGTGCTTCTGGATCCCGGCCTTGGCTGATTGTAGAAATGTTAATACCTGGCACAGGAGCCAGCGGCCTGGGTCAGGGCATTCCTGCTCCTGAACTCTTTGCATTTTTCATCACATTCTTCAGAATATATTTGTAAATTACCATGTTTGCCTCTGTTCGCAGCTCTGTTTTTAACCATGTAGTTTGTTTACTTGCCTCATCACAAGCACAGTAAAAATACACCCTGGAACAAGCCCTATTCTTGGGACAAAACAGGAAACACCACCAACTTGACTGTGTTGTCCTTGGGAGGGTGACCTCACAGTGAGGTGTTAACAACCCCTGATAAAGCCATCCATTAAACAACCAAGTCAGCTTCTGATCCTTCTGGAAAAAATCTATCCTACCATCTGCTGAATGCTAGAACCTCACTGTGTTTCTGAAAGAATGCACTTCATTTGAAAATTAAATTGAAGAGCGATGAATTACTTGTCCATTCAGACTTGGCACCAATATTCTGTGTGGTTGTGTTTAGGCAAGTGAGTGACTTCTAGGATCGCTTCTAAAATCAGTCAGTTCTTTGGGAGTTTGAACAAGCCTGGGCTTTCTCTCATCCCTGGAGGTTTGCTCATAAGGCAACTTTGAAAATGTTGCTACACACTAATCTTTAATTGGTAATCGTCTCCTGTGTAGCCACTGAAATCCCTGGATGTTAAAAACTGTTTACGCACTGGGCTACTAACAAAAGGTTGGAGGTTTGTGTCCACACAAGGGCACCTTGGAAGAAAGATCTGGCAATCTAATGCTGAAACAAATCAGCCATCAAAACCCTAAGGGGCTCAGTATTACTCTGACACACATAGGGTAGCCATGAGTTGGATCGACTCTCTTGCAACTAATTTATGTCTCCATTATTTGAAATAGAAAGAAAAATATTGTCATTGAACTGCCTAAATTTTTAAATAACAAACGTCTAGTAACCTTGGAAGAATGCCCGAATGAAGTTTTTAAAAAACGATTTTATCACAGAATAGGATTTAGAATGCTGAATACATAATTCACTTAAATTTGTTTCTCAAAAAATTTGTTTCTCACAATCTTGTTGTAACTTATTCAATTAACAATGTTTTCCTAATGATAAGGCAGAAATGTATAATTCTATAATCCAGTTTAAAAGGCAAAACAAAACAAAAAACCTGAAATGGAAAATGCCGTGATCTTTGTCCTCATTTTACAAATGTCATCTCAGCTCATAGTTGTAAATGTAACTCACTGACTGGCTCTGAGTGGAAGAGTCTGTTTAGAAGGCATAGGTCTGCCACAACCATTTACAGTGGGGACAAGTCAGTTCCCATAGGGAAGACATCCGGTAGAAGATGTTGCGGGGGGCAGGTTCAATGTTAAGAAGGCACAGATACTGGGGTTCTCAGGACAGCAGGTATGGTGAGTACTCAACCATAGGCTGGGATGACTGGGTCCTGCTTTTTCCTCTTTCAGAGTCATGTCTCCAACCTCCTTTGTGTACGGCGAGTCAGTGGACACATCCAACTTCATTCAGCTGGATGACATGGAGTGTCATTTCCAGCCCCTCAATGTCACCCTTCAGGTACCCACCTCTGAGATCTTCTCTGTCATGGGAGCCACCAGTGGGAGGGCCCACAGATATGTCTCCTTAAGGACAGGCAGCTGAAGGGTCTGGGTCTTTCCAGGAGAATACCTTCACAGTTGGTTGTCAGAGATATGGGGTGTGTGTGTGTGTGTGTGTGTGTGTGTGTGTGTGTGTGTTCAGTAACCCCTTCTGTGTTTAATAGTCTTCTCTGTGGACACTTCTGCTCTTCAAGACTCAAAGGAAAGCTACACCATGATGAACACAAGCTTTTCCCAAGAAGGCCTTGTATGAGGCTAGGTCAGCACCCAGTCCAAATGGTTCCACAGGACCTCTGTCTGTAACTGGCCATTCTTCGCCTTATGGGTAGGACAGCCTCCGAGGATCTGCTGCATTTCCTTCCTCCTAGCCAAAGACCGACTCCTTTTTTAAGGGGTTAGCCGCTGAAAATCCCACGGAGCACAGTTCTACTCTGACTGTGGATTGACTCAACAACTAGATTGTTCGTTGCTTGTTTTGAGTGTGGTTCCAGAGCTATATATGGACAGGCTCAGCGCCTTGGACCTGCCAGGCATTGACTAGACACTCATGAGGGGCCCAACACACTGAGTGCAGACGAACCAAAGGAGAGGAGCTAGGTCAGCCTCACCCAGAGTGCATCATGGTCTGCAATCCCCTAACTCTGCAGTTGTAGCTTACAGTGCCCTTCTTTGCCTCTACCCCATCCCTCCCTCTGAAGACTATGGCTCCCAGCCTGGTATTCACTGCTGGGGCCTAATAATTACGACTTTCTTTCTCTATGGCTTCGCTTAGGTAGACCTAGGGAATGACAAATAATCACAGGGTGAGGGTCAAAAGAAGAAGGCAGTAAAACATTTGTGGGCTCTTGCAAACAATGGCCTTCCTCTCTCCAGAGTGTTCTCTTAGGCTAGAGACCTCCTAAACCATGATGGATAACACATGTCGTTGGTTCAGAGAAGATGCGCCTCTGACCAGCTAAGCCCTAGCTGTCACACCCTGCCCTTGATTTACAGGAGAGTGAGGGGAAGATGGGGTTAGAGCTTGCTTTTGTGACTGCAGAGGGATTGCTAGGACTGGACCATCCCTCCTTCTGAATTGCTTCTCACAGTTATTGTTTCTGTTAAGTTTGTGAACCAGAATAGAAAGATAAAATCCTGGCGGATTCATTTCATTTTCATTGTTTGTACACTTATTTCTCTTCTGAAGTCTTTGAGGTGTCTAGCCATAAAAGATGTTGTCAAAGAAATAAGTTAAAAGAGTTCAAATGAGACAGATCACAGATAATGAAGAGGGCATGGAGACTGAAAGAAGACATCAAAAAGGAATAAATAACACTTACACAAAAGATGCAGAAGTTCTTATCACTCTCCAAAAAAGAAAGAAAGAAATCTGAGTGCATGTGGTTAAGTCAGGTTGCTCTGGAGGCATTGTCACAGGGAGGGTAGAGTTTGGTATTCCAGGAAAATAGCTTTCCTCACATCTGACCTGAAATAGGATACAGTCTAAGGAATCCAGGCCCAGGGATTGAGTGATTGACTTGATGCCCCTAAATACACTTCTTGATTAGCAAGTGCCTGAGGGAGCGCATAGCATTCACTTCAGGGTTAACAGGATTGGCTGGGTCTGAAAGATTGATCATATGTATCATTGATTAGAAGGGTAACCTTCTATGTTAGCAAACAAAGCACATGGTTCCCTGGAGAATGCTCTGACAACTCATTTGGTATCATGTTTATGATTTTCCTGCAGGAAGGTCCCTGACTAGGTTGGTGATGATGGTGGAGGTGGAGATGTGGATTAGAAAATGCACAGAAACTCTTCTATGTTTATTCCAGCCCCACCACTCCTGGAGACGTTTCCATAAGAAGCGATTTTTCTGTGTCTTTTAAAAGCTATCACTCAACTAACTATGTGTTTTTTTAAAGACTCCACTGCAAATGCAGATTGGAGCATGGAGGAAATGCTAGTCTTTGGATTGCTTTCTACATGTTCTCATTGTTTCCTTCACAGATACAACAATTTGTTCACCATTGATGGATAAGGCTTGTTTGGCATCAAGAATCAAAGCATTTCCCCACCTGAAAGTAATGGCCAAAAAAATAAAATGTTAAGACATTAAAAAATAAAAAAAAAGTAAAGATAATACTGTTGTTGTTGTTGTTGTTAAGTGCCGTTGAGTCAGTTCCGACCCATAGCGACCCTGTATAGGGTTTCCGAGGGTGTAAATCTTTACGGGAGTAGAAAGCCTCATCTTTCTCCCGCGGATTGGCTAGTAGTTTCAAACCGCTGACCTTAAGGTTCGCAGCCCAATTCGTAACCACTACGCTACCAGAGCTCCATATATATATATACATATGTATGCATATATGATACATGAGTTCTGGTTGCATACTGGATTACACATTGGGCTGTTAACCACAAGGAGGGGTTTCTTTGCTTAAATGACCGTAACACTACCAGCCTGGCTCTTTTCTTGTGATTGGTCATTTTTGATAACGCATTCAAAGAAATTCTTACTTGTTAGGAGTGCGCCATGTTAAGATAAGTCTACATTAGATGCATAGGCAATCAAAGGAGACATAGGAGCGTAGTGTTAGGCTGCTAACCACAAAGTCATCTGTTTGAGTCCATCAGCCGTTCCTTGGGAGAAAGATAAGGCTTTCTGCTC